GGATGTCATGGCCACGACGATAGCATGAATATAAGGTGCGCCAATCAATAGAATGAGAATGGCCCATCGTCCCCATGCGCTGGCCCCGTCCGGAAGAGCAACTAGTGCAATGAGTAAAATCAAGCACCAGAATTCCATGACGAGGCCAAGCAACAAACGCTGATTGAAGCGCTCGGAGATCCAAGTCCAGAACAGAAGGTTGATAATGAAGATAACATAGGCAGGAATGGTGAGAAGATTCGTCTGGAAGGTACCGAAGCCCAGGGATTTGAGCTCGAGAGTGATGTAGTTTGTTGCAGGTGTGTTGGGAATCATCCATGTCAGACCGAGCAAATAAATCGGCCACATATCATAGTCACATAGAGCAGTCCATAGCATCTTGAGCGATACAGCCTGCCGATTGTGCATACTTCCCTTACTAGGGTCGTCACGCAGCACGCGGTTGACAAGAATCTTCTCTTCGCGTTCGTTGAACCAGCCGTCTTTACCCCGGAGGCCACCCTTTGTTTGTGTCGGTGATGCAGGCATCCAGAAGATAGCGATGATTCCGATGATCCCAGTGATTAGACCTTCGAATGCGAAGAGGTATCGCCAGCCACCCTTACCATCAGCATCGTGGATATGGAGGAAGCCAACCGCCAGGAAAGCGCTAACAATCGCAGTAGCTTCATAAGAAACCCAGAAATAACTGAGTCTGACCGGTAGCTCTTTAGATTTGTAGAAAAATGAAAGGAAGAGGATGGTGTCGGCAATACTGGTAACTGTCAGCTAGAAAAAACGACTTTAGCATTCGACTTTTGACTTACAATCCACCTTCTAGAAGTCCCAGAAGCGCCCGACAGATGAAATAGCCGGTCTTATTCTTCAAGAAGGCTTGGCATGCAGCAACCAAGCTCCATGAAACCATCTGGAAAGGAATCCAGCGATCTGGTCCGACCTTCTTGGATAATAACTGCGAAGGCAGCTCGGCGAATAAGAATGTGAGAAGGAAGATTGTCTGCCCGTTGTTGTAGTCATTGGTATTCATCCCCAGATCCGCAAGCATGGTGTCGGAATTAGCCTGGACAACATTGCCTCTGTCGAGTTGGAGTGCAAAGAATGTCACGCATGCAAATGTGCAGATTCGCCAATCAATCTGCTTTTCATTAGCTCTATACGCTTATTGAGAAGCGCTTGCTGGAAATACCTTTTTGATCAAGGCCTTCTCTTCCTCTTCCGTCCACTCAAAGTAGGGATCCCAACGGTGTATGCCTTCATACTCGGGGATAGGCTTATAGTACCGAGGATCCTCTGAGGTGTCGAATGCACCGCCCCCTTTGACACGCTGCACCGCGGCGAATTCGAGGGATGATGTGGACGATCCCGATGCCACTGCAGTGACGGGACTCTTTTTACTGTCCTCGCCCGCGGGGACTGTGTCCACGGGGATATCGTGGACATTATCCGAGCCCATCTTGCCAATGGAAAAACGTTGACCACTTAGACGTAAGATATGCAAGCTCTTGTTTGCGGCAGCCGAAGAGATTTAAAGAACAAATGCAGGACCAGATGAGCTTTTTGATATGCTTCATCCCAAGCAGGTGAACATGAAGCTTCATCACGCAATCGCTCGGCAATATAGACAGATAGGCTAATTGCTAGATGATGTTCTGTGAAAGGTTGATGTAGCCAATCATGGCATGAACGTAATGGACCAAGAAAGACTCCGGGCATCTCGGGCGATAAGCTATGAAGTAAAACAGCTCGTGGTAGGGTGGCACTTGCGTCGAGACCAACATCAAGCGCAGCCATGGCGGCGAGATCAGGCCGTCAAGCTGTGGAAAATGATACAAATCTCAATGTCTTGCAGTCTCATGGGGTGTCCTACTCAAGTAAGTGCGATCACGCAAACGAAGCATAAGTGACGTTATGAGGAACAAGTCAGAAGAGGTAAAGAGAGTCCGGTAGTTGTTAGCGTGGAGTAGTCGAGTAGTAGGATGTAGGATTCAAGTCTAGTTCGATCTCCGCTGCGGGAAACGGCCGGCCGAAGACGCGGCGGGGCCTTAATGGGTCGGGATCGCTCAGGCGGTGGCTGCACTTTACCCGCGTCGGTACTTCCATAACTCTAAGGTTGCCTTACAATCCTCCGATTTCACCATCGCACTGGTCGATGGTGATACGTTTCGTCAGCAACATGACAACATCTCTGTCAATGCTGATTGGAGGCGAGTATACAAGTCTACGGCGAAGTGCTGCAGTGCTGCGTAAACTCGTCAAGGCCAATGCAGTCTCAATGAACTGTTGATGCGCCCTAGCAAAATGTGCTTGCCTTGACCCTCTCTTATCTACCTCATCTACAATCACACTGCGAACAATGTCTTGACCATTGACCAAACCAACCGATTTCCTTCTAATTCAACTTCTTTCATACGATGAGGACGATTTCTATGAGTGAACGCGGGTCAGGTGGGGAGTTGAGCTTGTTTGAGCTTTGGAGGGGGAAGGTTGCGCCAGGGACCATGGCTATCACGCCATGTTGCACTAAACCACGTTTGCCTCAACCAGCGTCAACCCTGTGGAACACAGTCTCATCCTCCGGCATCGTTCAAGGTTAACCAAGTTCCTTGATTGTGTATGGGGTACTTCTAACAGGAACAAACACTGGCCTGGGTTACTAAGTATACGACACTCACCACCAGATTGGGAAGACCGGCAATAGGCCAGTACTCCGCCTCGAAGATTATCTGATCAACGCCCGCCATTCCTCCTCGAGACGAGCACTGATGCCCATATGTCGTTATCGTTCGAAACCTTGTACCTAACCTTGTACCTCGTACCCCCTTCGCGAACCAGCAATTGCCGGAATTCGCTCGGCCATGCATACCCCGCAGGAATTGCGTGACGGCGCATCGAGTCATCGTAAGAAGGATGGTGATTATATATGCCAGAAGCGAACGGTGCCCTCTCGCAGATCGAAGTTCTCTCAAGAAGGAAGAAACCCAATCTATATTCCTCCATTCTAAACCACCATCATGGCACCATCCATTACTGAGACCCCGACCCTTTCTCTCCGGGCAAAGCCGGTGTCCGCGCTGAAGACCGATTCGGGCTTTAACAAAGAGAACTCAATCGGATATGCAGAGGTCTATAAGCATGACGACGAAGTCCAGGGTACAGAGAAGCAGCCGCCCGCATCATTCCCAAAATACCTCCCCGTCTGGGACAACGAGACAGAAAGGTTCGACATCAGCCCTAACCTACTGGCCACCTTTTGACCCCCGCTGACCTTCGCAGATACCCTCCTCTGCAACCATTCGAGCACTATGACCACGGCAAGGATGCGGACCTCTATTTCTCTGACCTCTTGCCAAAGGACAAAGCGCAAGTGGATGACCTCACTCCCACCATTGGCAGTGAAGTCCGTGGTGTCCAGCTGAGCCAGCTGACGAAGGAAGGCAAGGATCAACTGGCTCGATTCGTCGCCCAAAGAAAGGTCGTCGGTGAGTTGTAGCCACAGGCTTCTCCGCTGTTCTGCAAGGTTCTGTGCTAATGTCGAGCCTCATCTAGCCTTCCGTGACCAGGACTTTGCGCATCTTCCTATCGATGAAGCCCTCGAATGGGGTGGCTACTTTGGCCGACACCACATCCATCAGACATCTGGAGCCCCCAAGGGCTATCCGGAGATTCATCTCGTTCACCGCGGAGCTGATGACACGAGTGGTGCCGACTTCCTGGCTACACACACCAACTCTATCACCTGGCACTCCGATGTAACATTCGAAAAGCAGCCCCCTGGCACCACCTTCCTGTATCTCCTGGATGGACCATCAACTGGAGGAGACACCTTGTTCGCGGATATGGCACAGGCATACCGACGCCTCTCGCCTGAATTTCGAAAGAGGCTGCACGGGTTGAAAGCGGTTCACTCCGGTATTGAGCAGGTCAACAACAGCCTCAACAAGGGCGGTATTGCACGACGAGACCCGATCACATCTGAGCATCCCATTGTCCGGACTCATCCAGTGAGTGCTTCTCAAGAAGAATTAGATTAGTGGGTGTATTCGTTCTAACGTGCTGTCTAGGTTACTGGAGAGAAAGCACTGTTTGTCAATCCACAGTGTAAGTTTAAGGTCACGTCCGTATCACAGAAAACCAAGCGACTAAAAAAGCTTCAGTCACTCGCTACATTGTCGGATACAAGAAGGAGGAGTCAGAGTTCCTGCTGAAGTTCCTCTACGACCACATTGCGCTGTCTGCAGATATTCAGACACGGGTCCGCTGGCGTCCTGGCACTGTTGTTGTTTGGGATGTAAGTGCTTTCAAGCTACTGTATGATGGAAAACAAGATTGACAAGGCTAACTATTACAGAACCGTGTGGCGGCGCACAGTGCACTGTTCGACTGGGCGGATGGTCAGAGACGACACCTCGCGAGAATTACGCCACAGGCTGAAGCTCCTTACGAGACTCCTTTTGAAGGATAGAAGATGTCAGACAATGAACAGCGATACATATGGCCACAAGACCAGGCTACCATTTTCTCGATAGATATAGTTAGCGGCATCATGAACAGACAGGACGAATATGACTTCTTTTGAATGATACATCATACAATATCAACCAACCAATGAATTCTTCGCTCAGCTACAACAGTGCTTGCACGACAGTTCCAGTGATGGGGTTCATGCTGAGATTAGCTTTATCCTCATGATGACACAATGAGGCATAGGGTATTGAGCACTTCACGATTGTCTGATCCGGTAGGACCAGCATTGTGTCGAACTTTATGACCTCGCGTAGACCACACACAACATCATTATTGAATCAACGCCGTGAGTCACCCACGCCATAACCAGCACATCAACTATTATCTTTGTTACTCTCATCTTCAACCTCTCAACACCTTCCAGTCTCGCACAACCACATCACTACTACCACCATTCTTACCACCAATATCACTACCACAACCATCTTTACCATCTGAACCTCCACCCTACAATCCCAAACATCACCACCACCACGATGTCCAACCAAGCTCCTCGAGCACCGAGGATCCACCCTCAAGTGCCCCCAAGCCATCCACACGCTCTGGGCGGCCGAACCACCAACCCCCCGAGGCGCGACGAGGACACCGCCGTCGACAAGCTCCGCACCGAGCTGGGGTCCCACAATCTCCAGTTCGGCATCTTCAAGCAGCAGGTCACTAGCCAGCTCAACACTTTGGCCCAGCACAACAACACCTTGTTCGAGGCACACAGCAACCTTGTGCAGGAGAACAAGACCCTGCAACAGGCGAACAAGCTTCTCCGCAACGAGATCGCCCGTCTCAGCAACGAAGCCACCCGCCAGCGAGCGGAGCTCGCCACCCTGCGCACCGAGGTGCAGACGGCCGCGGTCGAGCGGCAGGAGGAGATCCTCCGGGCTGGCGCTACCGCGCAGCTCATATTGTCTCAAATCGAGGATCTTTGGAATGCGTTGACTTCTCTCGACCAGAAGCGTCGCGGCGAGTTTTTGGAGTGGTTGGAGGGGATGGATGTGGAGTAGGTCTTTGCGGGTAGAGGGAAGGGGGGAGGGGGGCTTGTAAGGAAGGGAAAGTTCATTTATGGAGATATACGATGTTATGCATAGCGGGGAGCAGTGGATGGAGTTTTGGGGGTACATCATCGGGGGCATGAGTCTTCTCGGGAAGGGAGATGAGTGAGTGTGTTTTTTTTTGGGTGTTGTGGAGTTATGGGATACGGTGTTCGGTGTATCACTTTGCTTACTCGTTGGGGTTGTGACGTTGTCTACTTGGGGACTACTGCATTGGAATTCAACTTGCTTCTCTCGAGTCTGGTATAGTTTCGTAAATCGGTCCCTTCGCTTGTAGGTGGGAGTGATGCCTCCCTCGACTATAGCATGCTTAACTTCCCTCGCGCCTTCCTGGGTACGTGGAGCAAGATGCTCATCCACCGAGTATACCACTCCCTTGGCCACAACCTCGCCAGCCCCGTAGTATCCGAGGCGAGACGCCTCTCACAAAAAAAGATCTATTGGGTATTATGAAGGCAGTACCAATCCGTTATCAACTCCACTACCCACAATCCCACGTGAACCATTTCTTAGAGCACTAGATCGAGAACCATGTACCTTGCCTCTCCCCAATCTCCGCTGAACAGACAAGGCTTTTGGTTACCTAATATGTAAACCCCAGCTTCCATCGGACACGAACGCTGCCCCATCCATCACAAAGCCATCGATGCGATTTCTGCTTGAATTTTGTTTGAGATGTGGCCGGGCTGTGTGATCTATGTCGATATTACGTATGTCGACTCGCGCAGTTCCGAGCTCCTATGCAATTCTTATGTAGTGTTTGGGATAGCGGTATGCGATGTTCTCACGCCTTTATACATAAAAGAAAAGAAAAGAAAGCTCGATGAAAATATAGACCATATTATGCTATAACGGGATCAGGCCCCAACTGCCACTGTGAAGATAATGCAAATAAGGGACCTTTTGCAAAAATAACTGATAAGGAAAAGACTGTATTCCAAGTCAACTATAAGTGAGATATAAGTTTGGCAATTTGTAGTAACGAAGCGTCGAATGAAGCTGCTTCATATGTTCTACACAGCATAGATCTTGTATATGGTGTCAAAGTAAGAGTTGTAATTTTAACAGCTGGTCTCGTGGCGCAATGGTAGCGCATTAGTTTCCGGTACTAGAGGTTGTGCGTTCGAGTCGCACCGGGATCGTTTTTTGCCCACCTCGAGCCTGCCTCTTCCTTTTTCTTGACAGAAGTAAACCACCTTGTTTCTGTTTGCTATCGCTGTTTTCCTTTATAGCATACTCCGACAAGGCTCCGAGAACCCGAAGACCCGAAGTCAATGGTTTGGAATCCAGTCAGGGCCCATGGTTCATCTCAGACGAGTCTTATCGATTTATCTTCGGCCCCCAACTTGCACACTCGTCCATGACACCAGTGTCGCACCTCTGCTTCATCTTTCAGCGGTCCAGCCCGTAAGCCCACCGATCCAGATGACAAGCAAGCCAAGCCAACATTATAGTACCGTTCGAGGTGGTCCGAGGCTCAGGCCATAGCCCAGACCTAGGACCGTGATCGGTGTTTAGTCCCCGAAGATTTGCTTAACTCGACGGAGGGGGCTCTGCAGCCCCCACTGTGAGGCCATTTGGCTTAGGTGATATTGATACATCAGGGTGCTCGCCGTAAGGCGAATCGGAGTAACGTAAGACTCAGAGAAACATACATGGAACTGAACGGGGAGCCTCCAGCTTGCACCTGGACTTAGATAAGAGATAACAGGAGTTGGTAATCCGTTGAAGTCTATCAAACTGGTAGAATGGGGCCGCAATAAAAGCAGCCTGGCCCGATTCACTAAAAGCAATGAACTCCCGCACGCCCTTCTAGAAGAAAGAGTAGAGGAAATCAATATGGTTCAGTAGGACCACACACAACATATATTCATATATACAGGAAGTAGTAAAGGTTTGTCGGCCCTATAGTCTCGACAATCCAGAGACGAAAAGGTAGATGAAACAGAGATTGAGGAAATGAGAAGCGTCGCAAAAGTGTACAGGATGAAAAGAAACAAGAAATCGACCAAGGTCGAGAGAAGAACTTCGTGGCAGGAATGGATGCACGATCACCAGGAGCTCAGATAACAAGAACAGCTCGCGCACCACCTTGGCCAGCAAAGCAGGAGCGAGGCTGGTCCGTTTTGTCCCGAGGACAACGTGCCGATCGGGGAGGCAAGGCGCAAGAAACCTTGCATATGGAACCGAGGGAGATGGCGTCTTTTCCCACCAGAGCGTGTAAGTAAACCTTCATTTTCATCGTCGAACAGAGTGGTTATCTGTTTCAGGTGAATCGCGGCCCCGGCTATGATACCGGTTTGTAGCCAGATTTACTTCTCCATTCAGTCTGTTTCCAATTTTGTTGGAAAGAGTCCATCTCTGTCCGCTCCGTGTTCCACTTGGCGTCGTCCAATGCGTGTTCGAGACGACCCTTCTTGCGCTGGCGCACGAAGAACAAAATGAATGCGGCGAGCAGCATGGCTCCGACAGCCGCAGAGCCAGCGTACACACCGATCTTGGCACCGGTGGGCAATTCAGCCCATTTCTGGGCCAGAGTCTTCTCCGGTTCCTTATTCAATTCCACGGCAGCCGTCGAATTACCCCTGGAGCTCCAGAGTTAGTAGTCCGTCATGTAATATCTCAATGGCGAGGAGGACTTACGTTACGACCTTGATGCTCTCCCACGAGCCCGTATGATTGGTATATTCGTACTCTTTGCCGGTGTGGAAGTCCTGTACGCGCACTTTCTGGACGACCATATTGTACGGACCAGCATCATAGTCGATCTCTCCGCCCGCCCACTCGATTGTTCCCAGAGGCTCGCTCGGGTCACCACCGGGCCAGATACCATAGCGGAGTGTGCAGGGGGTCTGCGGATAGTTCTTGCCGTCCAATGCATCCTCGTACTTCAGCGTGCGCACCAATGTGCCGTCAATCCACCATTCCAGTTTTGCGGCATCCCAGTAGGTAGTGTAGTTGTGGAACTCGGTGTCGGCGTTGGGAACATAATGGAAGCCTCCACGGTCAAAGGACGTATCGTTACCCTTGCCGAAGTAGTTGGACTGGACTGAGCTAGTGTTGTAGCCCACCCATTCCCAGTCGATCTCGTCCAGGTCATCGGACTCCAACACGATACTGCTAATCACACCGCCACCCTTGGCCATCTTGACCCATGACTCAACGACACCGAAGAAAATGTAGAAGGTCGACTTGATGGTGGGGGAGTCCAGCTTCTTAGCGATGGTGAAATTCGCGCCGGCGTCGGTGATGGCGATATGGCCGTTGGTGGTCTCCCAGATCTTGGAGTCGAGCGTCTCGTTGAATTGCCATGAGAAAGTCGTGCCCAATGCGGGATCCGACGGGCAGGTGGCGTTGAGCGGGTTGCATGTGGTTGAGGTCTGAGCAGCCACTAAGTAAATCTGGGCCACGATCAGGGCCAGGAGGTTAAAGAAAGACATAATGAATAGTCACGTCCTTTAGGATCACCACTCTCCAGATACCGAGAAATACGGTCCCCTCGTTTTGTCAAAGATAGTATTCAAGGGAGCAGAGGCGAGTCAGGACAACTGCGGGTCACACACGCTTGCTTCCTGGCAAGGTAAGGTGCGATAAAGGGGCGTTTCCTGGCAGTGCACCGGGGGGGACGAGTGTTTGAGATCAATTCCTCTAACGGTCCGTAAGGAGTGAGACCGAAAGCGTGGGGAAGAGGAAGAGAGAGAGGAAGACTCAAGTCTCAAAAGAATGGCAGCGCGATCGAGTCGCACGAGGAGGTTGAAAAGCACCCACAAGAAGGGATGAGAGGAAAGAGGGATGGAACTGATGCGGAGGAAGAACGGACGGAGGAGAGGGGAAGTAAAAGAGACATGACGGCGAGAGCATTTTCCTTTAATTTACTAGATACTAGGTTGACCCCAACCACAATGACTAGTTTTTTTTTTAACCCTTCCTTTTTTTTCCCCCTCGCTCTCTTTTCTTGTCCGATCATAATAGTTGGAATTATAAGTTATTCTTTTTTTAAACCCGGATTGGAGACACGGACAAGGTGCCCGCATGTCTCTCATCAAAGCTGCGAGTTTGCAGTCGATGTCACTAGTTTTTGGCCCTAAACATTTCAGGGGCTGCTCCAAACAGGAAACCACCCGACTCATGAAGGGAGTCTAGTCCTGAAACAGCCTGGTATGCCACAAATCTACCCTGGTTCGGCTGGCTAGCGTGGTCCCTGGCCCTGAATCTAGTCCTAATAAGGCCTAGTGCGGTCCCCCGACCACTGAAGGGCTCGAATTGTTCCATGGACTCAACCAACATGATTGGGTCGAATAAGGCCGAGGATAGATCCGTACACCAATCAGGGTTCTGCCTCAGGGGAACAAGGGGTTCACTTTCAAACACCCGACAAACTACTAACAGCAATTCGGGGATGAGTCCACAGTGCCCGTGAGAACTGCTGGCTGGGAAAGGAAGATTTCAAACTGATTGAAATGATAAGCGCACCGGTAAAGCAGCTTCAAAGGAGTTAATTGAGGGATCATCGACCAGGAATGATACTTATGTACGAGTAAGGTATCCATGATGAAGCTGTGAGTGCTCCTTGCTACCCAGAAAGAGCCAATGGCACCGCCACTCTCGGGTTGCTTCATGTATCGTACCTGCAGCCACTGCCGAACTCCTCTGCAATTGCCCATCGAATGACCTTGCGTTCCACCCACCCACCTTGAGGCACATATACTCCACGGTTCCCGAGGGACAATCAAACAAACAAGCACAGCTAAAGGCATGGATTTTCACTCTTCCTAACTAGTTCTAGCACCGCCTGGTGAGGATCCATTCTTGGTCTCAGCACAGCACAGAGGGTCAGTGCCGTGGCAGTTCACTTGGATCTGCTAATTGGCTGGTGGCAAGTCATGTAGAGAGGTACGGAGTAGGTTTGCGGTAAACTCAGTCCTACCAGCAGATATCGGGATTGTAACGCCGTGAGGGGGGAAAAGGGGGGCAACAAGGGTAGAATTGTCAACATGGTTGGAGATTGTATTTTCCAACCGCACAAACATTCGATTCCCCCACCCTCTCTCAAGTCTCCGCAGCCAACGGTCTGCGCGAGTCTCCCAGAGCCAAGGTAAGGGAGCACAACTGCAGATAAATTCGAAACATGGAGAGGTCGTGTAGCCGGTATCGTGCCAAGCCATGCCTGCTACTCTGTATGAAGGTCTCTGCAGACTTCACAATGGACAATCTTTGACAGGTTAATCTATTAATGTCACTGCCTACAGATGAGCATATTAGATGCGACTTCGACACGAACATGCTCGGCGCTGGTCAGTCTAATTTCCAGTGCCAGTTCACCCCACTTTCGCAGATAGGCAAATAGACATTGCATAACGACCAAGAAGGATAAAAATGGAAAGGATGGAACCGTTCCCACTTGGCAAGAGAACCAAGAGCACCACAATTTTGCAGATCAACTGATCATGATATTTCATGGTGGAAATCTTCAAAGGATTATAACTTAACCGGCTACTAAGACTCGTGGCCTGCCGCCACTCGGCCAAATGGCTGTTGTATGCGTACATGAATCATCGATAGATCAATCAGTCAGTCATCCGATCATTATCATAAGTCTTTCGTGTCGGACAGTCTACAGTATGATTCATCCAAGGTATTATTATAGCATAAAGGTCATATCGACATGTACATCCATCGTAACCATACGTGATTCGAAACTCGACAAACACATTAACCGCCCCCGCCCCCCCCAGCTTCCCCTACTTCCATCCTTCTATCCCTCCCAATTCCTTCCATTCCTCATCCACACCCTATTAATTGAGATAGACTTTCGCGGGCCTCCTTACCGAACTCCTCGGTTTCTCCACATAGTAGTATGACGGGCTCCGTCGCTGCCGGTGGCGATGGCGCGCTCGGTTGGTAGGCAAATTGGTCTCCCCGTAGTCGGGCTCGCTCTCCATCTCATGATTCATGGCACAAAGCTTCCAGAGCCAGAGAAGCAGCAGGGTTCCTGCCATCGTGCCGAGGACGATACCGGCGATGCCACCCCCGGAGATGGAATTGGGGCAATTGGAGTCATCCCGACTCTGGAGAAGGTGGATTGGCGCCTGAGGGAAGGGAGAAAAAAAACCAGGTGTCAATTTCCCTCATTTCTTTCACGGGAGACTCGGACTCGGCCCGCCCGCGCGAACAGATCCACGGAACAACGAGACTCGACTTACCATGGGTGTGGTGGTTGGGTTTCAATGTACTGTACGGAGTACCGTGCTGCACAATTGATATCAGAGATCGATGTCTTTGTGGTCCCCTCAATGCAAGCACAACCGAAAGAAAGTCAACTAACTGGGAAATCAGAAGAGGGGGTGGAATTGGAACCATATATTATCATCATCATCATCATCTTTTTCTCTTCACCTTCTTGTCCATACTTTCCCGCTGCGGCTGGGCTGGTGTTCCCATTGACGTCAACCGTACGTCTTTTGCCTTGGATCCCCTCCTACACAAACCCCCCCTCCCCTCCTCTCACAAACTTCGGCTTGGCTTTCTGATCTTGATGAGCGGATGGCTTTTCCTTCGGGGCGCCTGCCAATAGAATCAATGGATCAATTGTAAGCATTGTGCACTGCGAAGTGTCTTGCGCGCATGGATGAGCTTACGTTTTTCACGTGTCGGGTGTGGTGGGGATACCGCGGGATACCTCGCCTCGCGTTATTGGTCCAACTACCGACTAACTACTACAGAGGAAACTCATATGTAATACCAGGTGCTTTGAGCCTTGTTTTTGAGGACTGACTTGCATGAAAATCGCGCAGGCGGAGGGGCTTGAATCTCGTTCTTTCTTGTGTGGTTTCCCCGCATCTGTGGAAAAGCGGACTTCAAGCCGGTGTCGTTGAGATGCTCGACTACAATGCCAGTGTGTGTGCTACGCTCTCGATGTACTTATGCGTCGCACAGTCTTGGTCCTAGAACAGATCGATTGCCTATTTCGAGTTCGGACTCATTAAAGCAATGGGAGGCTAGTGGTTAACTATCATTTCGGGAATCTATCCTGAACCCCACTTAGCAATAAAAAAACACTTTACCAGGCGCGCCAGCAATCCCTAGTCAATGCTTGTGGTTGATGTCTTTTCTACGGTACACGAAATGACATGGCTTGGGTGCGTTCCAAAAATAGTACCAGCACGAACTCTGGTATGTGGCTTGTGAGGTAGCCGATGCAGAGGAAACTGGCTCACAACCTCCTATGTCCCGGGGAAGGGGGCCCACTGCCGGTCTCCCAAGCCGTCATGTTGGGCCCCAGCTCGAACTCGATCGCGCCCCCATGTGCCAGGAGATCCTCGTGCTCGAACCAGTTCTTCGTCCAGACTTGTCCGTTGATTCTCACGCTTTGCACATAATAGCCCTGGTCCAGGCCATTTGCGATAATCCGAAGCGTCTGGTTGCCGTTGATGGTCATGTTGAGATCCGGGAACCAGGGCGAGGCAATCAGGTACACTGGCTGGGTGACCACCGGGTAGATCCCCAGCATCTGCCACAAAAGCCATGAATTCATTGCCCCTGCATCACTGTTGCCGGGGACTCCGTAGAGTGCGTCGTTGAAACTACATGGACGTTTGATCAGTCCTACTCTTTGGAAAATCTCATTCCGTGGTACTCACTATTGGTATCCGAGGCCCCTCGATCTCTGGACGCTTTTTGCTTGCTTGTTGATGTAATTGTACAGGTAAGGCGTGGCGAAGTCAGGCTCGTTACTTAACCACGGTCATTAGTCTCACTTCGTTGTCAATTCACAAAGGGGTGTGTACCCTATGTTGATGATTGTCGTGATTCCAGCTCCATTCGGTCCGAGGCTTTGAACGGACATATTTGGCGCAAACTCCTCAGTTAGCTAGGGTCCTCCTGCGGCGGGGAACTCTTACCATGAGATCAAGTCGGGATTCGAACGTGTCCACGCCTCCCATTAGATCAACCAGGGTCTCCATGTCATGGGGAATGACGAAAGAGTATTCTAGGCATTCGGTGCGTAAGTAGACATTCTATCATACCATGGATGTCACTCACCCCAAGGCACGGCTTCATATGTATAGTCCAACCACTCGCACTTGTCACAGTAGCGGGGATCATATGTGCTGCTGTTGAACGTGCCGTTTGAGAACCTAGGTGCCAGAAATCCTGTGAAGTTCAGACTAGAAACATCCGGATTCCATATATTCTGCCATCCAGCGGACCGATTCAGATACTTTTCCTGGTCACTAGGCATCTCTCCCGAGGCGACTTGGCTCAGCGCAAAATCATTTAGGCTGTACTCAACGGTTCTGGAAATACATCTTGTGTTACGATCTTGTGAAACATATCCAAGCTCGAGCCAATCGCCCAGGGCGCCGCGCCCCTCTTTGGTGCTGGCCGAGGGGTCTGTGGGGTCCCATGTGTTGTATGGAATCACCTCCGCGTCGGTCTTCATGGCGGCATAGCCGTCGGTCCAGTTGATCGCTCCGCGAAGGCCCTTGACGTAGGCATCCGCTAACACATTATCGGCATTGGAGCCGCCTTGGACCAGTCCATTCCAGTTTCCTGAGCGTCCATCTGGCAGGAAACCTTGGTGTCTTGGGGACGAAAAAATTATTAGTATCACTCTTCCTTGACCCTGCTCATATCCAGGGATCATACCTCCATATATCGATCAGACCCCGAATCATAGACTCATAGTAGTCAGGTTGATATATATGATAGAAACTAATCGTGCAGCGGAAAATGTCCCCTAATCGTATACATCAATAACAGTATTGAATCAATTGTTCTTCATACTGACACATTGTATAAAAGTCGTCCCAGAATGGCTCATCCGACTGCCAGAGAGGATTCTCGCCGGTCCGATCGGACGGCATCAGATGCATAAAGTAGAGAGAACTGTAGAGCAGCCGCACATGCGTCATATTCGCTGTTTCGTCCAATGCAACCCGAGTCTTGCTGAAAACATCTCGGTTCCATTCTTCCACAGCCGACTGCACCGTGTCATTCAAGTCCCAGGATGGAATCTCTGATTCAATGTAGGCACGGGCCTTTTCTTCGGAGATGAAGGATACACCAACTCTGGAGATAATTTGAGCGCTTGAAGTAGTGTTCCAACTGAAGAGCGCCCCGATGCGATCATTCATGGGTCCTGATGTGGTTTTCTTATCAGTCAAATTACCGTACACTGGCTGACTGATGCCACCGTTGGCGAAGCTCTGATAACGCGGCATCGGCTCGGTATTCCTCCCTGCGAAGGTGCGCGCTGTCTCTGGGGCTATAGAAAATTCTCCGTAGAAGTAGACTGTGAACGGCGCGCCTGGTACCCAATCAGCCTCTCCGAAGATATAGTATTGACGCAGGCTGGCACTCACCGTTGTTCCAGCCACCCATATACGTCCCATAGCCAGTGTAAGCCCGTCCCTCATCCTTCAGTTGGATCTCGCCGGCAACGTAGAACTGACCATTGGGATCATTGGGTGACCCGGGAAGATACTTTGGTAGATGTTAGCGCTGCAGCACCTCGAAGCTACCGGCATTGTAGATGTCATACATGGGAAAGATCGACCAGTACATGCTTTTCGCCCTCGGGGAAGCTATACTGGATGATTCCAGCGTGGCGAGAGGCCGAGAGCTCGACCTGAACGCCGTTCTGCAATCTTGTTGCAAAGTAGCCCACGCTGGCTGTATCATTACCGATCTACAGAGATTATGAGTCCAGGTCGATGAGTTTCGCTTCTCTCGGGCAGCATACCCTAGGCTGGGAGTAGGTCAAATTGTCGAGCAGATTCACCGGGGGCGCAATATCTGTGAGCGGCATCTGGGGAATTATTCCATATTTTGGTGCACCTCCAGTACCACTTTCATGCATTATGGCTGGGTAAATGGTGAAATGCTAGTCAACGATCGAGGACTTTTGATTGAGTGGTCACGTTCACCTACTGATCGCCGTGACATCTCCATCTGGCGTCCAACCCCCATTGAGGACCGCCAGGCTCCAGTTTGCAGCCGTAGTGTCGATACCTACCTTTGCCACGCCGAAAGGCCGCGCTCCCCCCACGAAAATATCGCCTCCTCCATAGCCTTTGCCTGGATAGGGTCCTTCCGAACCCATTAGGGCATTCACATATTGGGAGTAATCTTCCTTGATAGAAGCAATCGCCGGTACCAGGACAGATAGCAAAGCTAACAAGCGATGGCAGGTGGGCAAGTAAACGGACTGCATACTGAGTATACTGAGTAGCTTCCAGAGGATTCTGGAGAGAATGAACATGGGGCAGGAAAGAGGGGAAATTCACTTGGGTAGAAAAAGAGCTGCCCCCCAATTTTATCCCCCGCCGGGGAGGGGAATGCAGGCGATCTACGCGGAGATACCTGCATTTCATCCCTGACGTACTGCAGCGACTGGCCACTGAGATTAATATGATGCTTGCTTTCTTTAGACTGGCACAGTCGGAATGAAGAGCGAAAGTGTTTCGTGTTGTGCTTTCTTCCCCGCATTTTGGTTAGTGAAGCAAGGATTCAATATTTGACACACACATACACACACATACTAAACCTAGTCACCTTCTGGGCTCTTTCACAGTACCAATAATCGTACTTGGGCATTTGGACGGTCTCGTGGTAGTTTGTACTGCTGCTTATGGAAATCATCTTCCGCCCCGGACTTCACCCTTTCGAAGGAAAAAACGATGTAACTTGCTTTCATATGCTCGACCAGATGACATGCTCTCGCGGCCCAATCCCCACAAGCCGAGTCCAAGATGTGAAGTTTATACTCCGTACTCAACACTGAACTTGAGAGGCTATTTACTTGCCTATAACTAGTTACTTGGTTGGCTTAAGCGGATGACTAAGCTAATCACGGCTGCTGCCTTCCCAGCCGGGATCGAATCCGAATTTCGTCCCCTTTTCGCAAACAAACTGGTCTTCATGATCTTCATTCATTTTATCGATGACTATGTAGCACTCGAATCCCTCCAGTAGCATTTACGCCATGTTTCAGTGCTCTCATTGCGACAAGTCTTATCAGAGAAAGAGTCACCTGCTTCGGCACGAGGCGACGCGTACGCACTGCTCTTCCCCTTCCGTGCCGGGGGTTTCCAGGCTAACAAGTCCAGATACTACTAAATCTTTCTCTTCAATATGTCCCATTTGCAATAAGGCATTTCAAAAGCAGTAAGCTCACGTTCTTGCCGGGCCCCTTCCTCATCGATGGGTTAGTCTGACAGGATTTAGGGAGGTCGCGCGACGACATAGTAAGATTTGTGCAAGGAAGTACAATAGACCCCCACCGCCAGCGTCTAAGCCTGGCCGGAAGAAACGCTCCTGTGATGAGTGTACCCATGCCAAAACAGCCTGCGACAAAAACTCACCATGTTCTCGCTGTAAAGCCCTGGGTCGACAGTGTTCTTTCGGAAGTGTGACATCTTCGCCTACAACTATCTGCTTGACATCTGTCCCACCTTCACCAGCATTCTCGCATAGTTCACTCGCAAGCAAGAGGTCGTTTTTCTTTCTTTCTCACTTCACTGATCCAGCTGTGGTGAAGGACAAGCTTGCAATCGCAGAAACAGCAAAAAGCTCTACTAAAAGGAACCTCGATGCCCTCCATCTGAACCTCGAAGATGCACTCAGCCCGTTCTACGCCATGCAGTCATTTATGAGCTCTTCTTCAACTGCAGATATGTTCTTTCAGCCTTCTTTCCTAACAAACCAGTATCCCATCCTGGACCTCCCCTCTGAAGGCGCCTTGTCTTCGCGGCTCGCCAGGCAATTGAATGACTTGATGGTAGAGCTGGTGGAAACATCAAACTCTATGGGTCATGATAGTGAAGGCCCGAATAGGCCGCTTGATATCTCTAGCTTAATTCCGCTATTTACAACTTCCAATCTTTCAATTTTCATCTCGACTTACTTTCAATCCCTTCACTGGCATCTGCCGATTGTACATTTCCCAACATTTGACCCAGGAAATGTGTCAAACTCCCTCCTTATCTCAATATTTTTGGCCGGAGCAATATACGCGACTTCTCAAGATGGAACTGTCGTGCCACCTGGGCTGCTCGACGTAGCCGAGGAGTATATCTTTCGACGTGTTGCAAATTTGTCGACAGCATCAATCCATACCAGCCAACTCTCTCAATTCTTCCCAGAACTCGAAATTGTTCAAGCAGCCCTGATAATCGAGATGCTTCATTTTGGACAGGGGGGTATGCAAACAAGACGGCGCATCCGGATCATGAGACATCCGTGTGTTATCTCCTTGATACGATCAATAGGCATTTTCCAATACAAACGAAGTACAACTCCCCAAATCTGCGATGAGCTCACTTGGAGGAAACGCATAGCGGAGGAGGTCCTTGTACGGTAAGTACCTATGATATAGATCACTGTCAAAGACATTTATTGAGACACTGTCAGGGTTTCCTGTTGGGCTTTCCTCGCGGACGGATTTCTCACGGTCTGTTTTAACAACCATCCTGCATTGTCTATCTTTGAGATGGATTGTGACTTTCCCTGGGACTCTGCACTGTTCGAGGCCGAAAGTACATCTGCATTCAATGAGCTTGTAGCTTCGACTAATGGAGCACGGCCCTCACTTCCAACTATAAGACAGTTCATCACCCGTCTACTCGACACGGACATCGGTGATTTGGTCACATGGAGCCGGTCACTTGTGGCAGAACACCTGCTACTGTTGATGTACGGTATGTGTAACGCCTGGTTGGGCCCTTGAGATGACAGTCTCGCTAATAGAAAGTGGAATCAGCGATGCACTCCCTGGCGTTTCAGGCAAGGACCGGCTTACTCGGATGGATTTCACCAAACGCTATCAAGCTCGCTGCAGATAATTGGAAGCGAATTTGGGATTCAATTGGTGACATTGTTGGCAAAGAGAAGACACAGAGTCTGGGTTATCCCAAACATGCAGAGGAGCTTTGGTGGCTTCTAAATGCTACGCTCGACCGTACCGCTGGCCGGGGCAAGAATCTTCGCTACCTAGACACCGCAGCTACTGACGACTTGGGCAAGCTGAACGAGTTTATTCATAACGTTGCGGCGGAAGAAGGAACACCTTGATTGAATCACGGTGTTCATATTAATTATCACAGTGCTCATATCATACATCTATGTACAGCATACAATAAAACTAACACATACCGAAAACGCCAAATCCAGCTCCTTTGGACCATCTATGCGACATCATATCTCTTACTCGTTCTTATGCTTCAATTCGTCGCCCTTGGCTTTGCGATATGTGCCACCCAAGCGGTCCCAGAACGTGGTGAATTGCCCATAATTATAATTGAAGTACAGATGATGCAGCGTATGACACTCGGGTCCGTTGATCACTGCAGAACGCGAGAGGCATTCGGCATCGTCTAATCGGTTTGTCAGTTGTGATCGTGGCAGTCAACAACAAGGGAAGAGAGGGGGGCGTACGGATTGCGAGGGTCCACATAGTTACGAATACAAACAGTCCCAGGTAAGCGCACTTCTGCAGAGGGAACAGCATTGGGAAGATGTGGTAGGGCAGACTCTGGGCCCAGCCATCGAAAGGGTTGAACGCATAGCTGGCGTACGGTGTCGGCACGACCCACTTGTGGTGCTTTTTGTGCAAGAAACGATAGACGGAGGGATGATGCTCCCATCTGTGGATCCAGTAGATTCCCGTGTCCGTGAAGAAGATGAAAAGCGGGTATTGAAGATACGAATATCCAGGGAAGGGCTCCTGGCTCGCGAAGTCATATAGCTTGGACCATCCACGGATTTCCAGCAGGAAGAATGGAACAGTGAGGATGGACATAACAGGCATGGCAAATAGTCCTTGCTTGATCTCCTGTCGGATCTGCTGGTGCAGGATTCGTGGATGCTTCATCAGAGACTTGTCGAAAACAGTGTGGTACAGGATCGTGCTGCCAATGAGGTACATGAGAACACCGAATATCCTTCATGGACAGCTTAGTTAGCTACTGTGTACGATGAAGCCTAAGTAGAGAACAACATACCACATGGTGAAGAATAATGACAGGGCCTGTCTCGGGAGATGGTCACGCTTCCACCGGCTCGCATTGGCATACTGGGACGCTTGCAGTGGATAGTAAAGGCCAATGTGCTGGTTGTAGAGGAATTGAGTCTCCATGGTCGCATTGCCCGGATACATCTCATAGCTCGGAAGCACTGAGGCATAGACCCGGTCGAAGACGAAAGTGTCGAGGATATCAAGCAGGACGTCCATACTGGCGATTGTCGTTGTCGATGTGCTTGGTCGAGTTTAGGGCTGGCTCATACCAGACAGGGTGGATGGTGCGGTGCTGTTGCTTTATAAGACGAATCGGTCAAATCTCGTTCCTTGCAGGTAGTAATATTGAGTTTGGGCACATGGGGGAGCTCCTGCAGGATAGGCTTTGCAATTTAGGATACTCTTTGATTTATATACGGGGTTTACCTACCTGGTACTTTTCGGTGATTCCCTACACGGCGATTCCCTACCGCGGGGATTCCCTACCACCGGAGCCCGGGTATTCCAGTCAGACCACTGATTAAGGGGCAACGAACAGTGGCGTGGTGGTGATATATTTCTTATCCCGTTGTTACTGGTGGGTTATACATGGTAGCCAGCCATTGATGATAAAAGGAGTGTCTACTCTGAGTCCTACCGCACAGTGTACTACTGCATTGTTCACAGACGGTTACCGAGCAGGCCCTTGTTGACCGATGTATTTATATGTTATTCCCAGGTGCCGCCTACCTCATCACAACCGCCTTAACTGTGCTTATTCGGTCGGTCTTCTTAGTCTCAAACAGCACTACGATTGATTGAACAGTCACGGAGCCAAATCTGCGAGAATGATCCAGGTAAATAGTCTATTGTCTTTATTGAAGCTATGGTGAAAGAACAATGTCCATTTTTTCAATTTATTATATAACACCTAGCTGTGTCCCGACATATACAAAATGGCAAGATGGCCGAGTGGTCTAAGGCGCTAGTTTTAGGAATTTCCGAAACACTAGTTCGAAAGAGCGTGGGTTCGAATCCCACTCTTGTCAATAACTTTTTTGTCCTTGTACCTTGGCCACGATGCTGTTGTATCAATCAATTTTTTGCCAATCGTTCTTTTCGGCCACTCTGAAGCACCAGGTAGCCGGCTCAGCGTCATGTCGTGCCCTGTATGTCATATGTTACAGTCATCCAAGGGTCATGGTTGTGCGGCGCATATGCTTGCTTCTTCGGAGAAACTATCCGCTCTCAGCGTCTTTCCGAAGGCATGCCCGCCGCACAGCGAGACAATCACGAAAAACCCACCAAAAACCGACGGGCAGAGGGAAGCCACACCAGCCAGGCCAGATTCAATCCCGCGCTTTCCAACTTTCTCATACCCCTCTTCAACTCCACCTTCTTCAACCCCCCCCCTCTCTCCCACTTCCAATACCCCTCCAAAAGTCTCTGTTTCGTCAAAATGGGTGTCACCTTCGACAAGTGCGAGACCCGCCCGGCCAACATCGATGCCATCCTCAACGGCCTCGACAGATACAACCCGGAGACGACCACGGTATTCCAGGACTACGTCGCCCAGCAGTGCGAGGACCGCACTTTCGATTGCTATGCCAACCTGGCCCTGCTGAAGCTGTGAGTGTCTGTCCCTTCTTCGCTCATGCGCCTATTATCCTACACACTGCACCTCCTTCCCGAGAACCAAGCGCTCCGACGCGGGGATAAGAATAAATGGTTTTTATATGATGAAGAAAATCTCATTTACAATCACGTTTCCTATTACCTGACACCCTATCATGGGGCATGTCGAGATCTCAATTCTCCTGAGAATGAAAGCCACCCAAGCTTCTATTCGTCGCACACTGCATCGCTCCCCGCTCTAAGTTTTGACGGTAGCTAACACGTTCCTTGAATTGTCTTTGATTCCCAACAGCTACCAGTTCAACCCTCACCTTCTCCAGCCCGAGACCGTCACCAACATCCTCGTCAAGGCTCTCACCGTCTTCCCTTCTCCCGCTTTCTCCCTCTGCCTTGCTCTGCTCCCCGCCCACACCCAGCCCTTCCAGTCCTCCAACCCTGAAGCCCAAGCCGCCGCCCAGACCTCCGACTTCGTTGAGTCCGTCCAGAAGCTCGCCCGTCTGTCTACCCTCCTGGAGTCTGCCCAGTACGCCCAGTTCTGGTCCACCCTGAACTCCGACGACCTGTACGCCGATCTGGTCGCCGACGTCGCCGGATTCGAGGAGCTTGTCCGCATCCGCATCGCCGTCGAGGTCGGCAAGGCCTTCCGTGAGGTCAACGCCGAGGTTCTGGAGCAGTGGCTCGACCTCCGCAGCCGTGAGGCCCTCGAGAAGTTCGTCGCCGAGGTCTGCAGCTGGGAGGTCGACGGTGCCGTCATCAAGGTGCCCACCAACAAGGAGAACGAGGCCCGCAGCGAGGTCAAGAGCGAGCGTGTGGGTGTGGATATGTTCGGTCGTGTCATCCGCAGAGGTTTCGAGCAGGCTGCATGAGCGGAAAGTCCTCAAATATAATTATTCTGAGGATTTGCATCGGATTTTCCCCCTTTCGAACCAACCAAAATCGCAACCTTGACGTCTTATTCAAATCTCGTTTCTCTCTTGGACCGCTTCTTCCACCCTTCACATTCTTGCTAATACTTTTTTTACTTATGTTTCTCCTTGTGCCTTGAGGTTGATCCGGGGCTCTCGATCTAGCCCCGTTGATCCTTTTCAACGTCTCATCTCTTCTCCCACTCTTCCTCTGTTCCATCTGTGAAAGGTGTACCGAGAGGAAAGAAGGAAGAAGGAAAAACCGGGACAGGCATGATCCGAACTTCACCTATGACTTATGAGTCATGAAGCTCCCAAAATAAGATGATGAACCCCATGGGGAAGAAAATCGGAGAGGGTTAGACCAACATGTAGGGATTAGAAAGAGACGGGGGGACTGGGAAGTCAGGAACCTGGCGCAATCGGCGTTTCGAGTTTTGGTTCGCTGCTTTGCGTTTGTTGATTACCATCTTCGTCATCTACATCCAGATGAATGTGTCTCGCCTGCTGCAACGGTGCCTTTCCATGCTCTCAGTTCTTACTCCCAAGATATCCTTTTTTTTCTATTGTAAAGCAGAAGGAACAAGAGAACGAGGAAAACAAAAAGGAATCACTTCAAAATTCATACAAGTGTAATTCAGTAGCATTGTTTGCCGCACTGCCTTTATAACCATTGGAGTGTGGATGCATGTATGATTGGACAAACTTTTGAATTTCCAATGAGGCCAAAAAAACTCAATGGCGTCTATGGACATGGTAGAGTATATGTGTATGTATAAATGGTCATGATCAACATCAGATTATTCATGGGTAGAGCGTTAGTAGGTAAGTTCGGACTTTGGGCCTCACACCCTAATTGTCTTTTCCCCCATTGAGGAAGGGGATGCAAAAAAGAGCAGAGCGGAATCAATCGATCAATCAATCCATCTATTTCGCCGCCTCCTCCCACTGCACACCGGCCCACTCCTCACGATAGCCCACGACCCCGACCTCCTTCGGTCCACAATCCCGGCCACACACGGCCAGCATGATCGTGCCCCATTCCATCCCGGCGTCCCCGAGACCGACGCCCTCCCGGCCGTCCTCGAGCACACTAATGGCGTGCGGGACGAGCTGGAACTCGAACACGCGCTCGCTGCCGCAGTACTCGCAGCGCGGAATGCGGCTGGAGACGGACGGGCCCTGGCCCCCCGTCGTCGTCGTGGTGGCGATGTGCGCGTTGGCGGGCTTGTGCGCGAGGACCTCGTGCAGGCGCTTGCCGATGGCGTCCGTGTGCGAGTAGAGCAAGGGGTTGCCGCGGAACTGGTACCGGAGGATCTGCTCCGGGTTGTGGCCCAGCCGGGTGGAGAAGCGCATGAAGGCCTTGTCCAGTTCGGACTCGAAGGCGTCCTTGAGGTCGGCGCCCCCGCTGCTGCCGGCCTCCTCGCTGTTGTCGATCGTTACGTTGTCTGGGATCGTGGGCGTCGAGGGCCGCGAGAGGGTCTCGTACTCGGCATCGAGGTAGAACCGCGGGTACGGGGCGGGGAAGTCGGATTCGGCGGGCCACGGGGTGACGGGGCCGGAGGTCTCCTCGGGGGGTGTGATGGTCTTGAATGATGCGGCGGGCGGTGGGGGTGGGGAGGAGACGCGGACTTTGTCGGCGAAGGAGTCGGAGAGAGTGTTGGCGGTCGTCGATGCTGGGGTGGAGGGTTTGGCGACTAGACCTGGAGATGGGGCGGGTGCGGCGAACGGGTTGCTGTTGGTGTTGTTGCTGCCGCTGGAGAATGGGTTGCTACTTGCACCAGCTCCGCCGGAGGAGAAAGGGTTGGAGTTGGCGGAGACACTGCCTATCAGGGAGGAGGATCCGAATAGACTTGCGCCGAGATCCGGTCTGGGAGCCTCGTTCTTCGTCTTCTCCTCTTCCTTGGGGGCTTCGGTTGGGATCTCCTCCACTTCTTTCTGTTCTTGCGCGGATCGGGGCTGTTCGCTCTTCAGCTTGCGGGTAGCGCGCAGAGCTCTGATACTGCCGGGTTTGCGGTTGCAGGGTTTTCTGGGACAGGCGAAGATGTACAGACGTCGCTCGTCGTCGGGGAAGTCGTCGGGGAGATCGCCGTGCAGTTCGAGGAGGAGGAGCATGGGCGAGTTGCAGACTTTGCATTTGGCGAATTCGCCCGGAGGCGGGGTAGCGTCGTCAAGCCAGGTCTGGGGCAATGAAACTCGTCAGTGAACTTCTTCTTGTAGATGAGTTTATGTGAAACGGTGGCATAGGAGATGTACCGGAGTTCCACCAAGGTGACTGATTGAGTCTTCTAGAATCTCGTCTGCTGCGTAACCCAAGAGCACGCCGGTCTCGGTGAAGTCCCCCTCATCGTCGAAAGATGAGTCGCTGTCATAGGGGTCCATGATCGGTGGGTCAAGCCGGTCAAATCCAACAATATCTGATTGGAGTGATATGTGCGGGCGTAAAGAGTACGTGCAATTGGCTTCGAGCACAATGCAATAGAACGAGTGTCCTGTACGAGGCAAATGAGCGATGCGATGATTTTTGGGCAGCTGGGAAAAAAAAGCCGGTAGAAAAGCGATAAGCGATAGAGGCCCGGCCCCAGGAACCTTAGCCTAGTCGGGATTAGCGCCTGCGATATGGCTCGATGCATCACCGACGGAGTAACTACTACACTTCCTCTTTTCTCTCAATCCGTCTTTCTGTCAATCTCTGATGTCGCTCATCACTTCTGTTTGCGTATCATATCCTGTTGAGTCTGTCTGTGTCTGTTACTGAGAAGAAAAGTGATACCTCTGTCTGCCCTGGAAGCGTCACAATATCATCATCGAGGGAATTGGTCCCTTGTGTAAGCACGGAACCCATCTCTACTCTAATCCATTTGGGAAACCTGCTATCATGGATCCCCATCCTAAGCGTCCATCATTTGTTTACCTCCTATATACTCAGCTTATATACTATCTGTTCATTCTATGCGTCATTCCTGGCAGCAATGCCGCTAAACAGCAACCCTTGAGCTCGTTCGGAGAGATAGCTCCCAAGAAAGTCGCGGTCATCGGTAACTACTACCATACTCCATTGCAATCCAAGCTTTGATGACTGACATTCTAGACAGGAGCTGGAGCTGCAGGATCATCAACTGCATATTCTCTCCGCAAGTACGCTGATGCCCAACATGTCCCCGTCAACATCACTGTTTTCGAGCGCTCTTCGTATGTTGGAGGCCGCTCCACCACGGTCAATGTCTTCGACCACCCGGCCTACCCGATGGAACTCGGGGCCTCGATCTTTGTCAGCGTCAACTACAATCTGGTGAATGCATCCAGAGACCTGGGCCTGAACGCCCGGAGCGCCAGCTATGAGCGACCCCGCGAGACCGACGACACCATCGGCATCTGGGACGGGGACCAGATGGTGTTCGTGTTCAAAGACACCTCTGGCTGGTGGAACCTTGCCAAATTGCTTTGGCGATATGGATTGGCACCAGTCAACGCCTACCGACTGATGAAGTCGACCGTCAACAAGTTCCTGCAACTCTACGACGGACCCATGTTCCCGTTCCGGTCCCTCACCCAAGCCACCGAGGCCGTTGGGCTCCTGAACACCGTCGCCGTGCCCGGGTTGGAGTTCCTGCGACTCAACCGCATCTCCGATCTCTTCTCCCGCGAGATCGTCCAAGCCAGCACGCGCGTCAACTACGGACAGAACCTAGGCCTCATCCACGGCCTCGAGACGATGGTCTGCCTCGCCACCGACGGCGCCATGGCCATTGAAGGCGGCAACTGGCAGATCTTCGACGGCATGCTCAAGGCCGCCGGGGCCGACGTGCGCGTGAATCACACCGTCACATCCATCAACTGGGACGCCCAGAACCCGCAACACCGTCCCACTAGCCTCACATTCAAGGCCAGCAGCACCTCTTCTTCAGCTCAGACCGAAGGAGAAGAATTCGATGAAATCGTCATCGCCGCCCCTTTCCAGTTCACCGACATCACCACCACCCCACCCCTCCAGAGCCACCCCGACGATGTCCCCTTCGTAAAACTACACGTAACTCTCTTCTCCTCCCCGCACCGCCTCTCGCCAGCCCACTTCAACCTCCCCGGCCCCAACACGCCCGAAACCATCCTCACCACCCTCCCCCATGACCTCGACCCTACCGTAGGCAAAGCCGAAAAGGGCGTCGGCCCCGCCGACTTCTGGAGCATCAGTACCCTCCGCACCGTGGTTCCTCCTCCTTCGGAATCCGAAGACGACCAACCACAGCGGCCACAAGAGCACTACGTCTACAAGATCTTCTCCCCCGAACGCCCTACCGCCACCTTCCTCCGCTCGATTCTCGGGCTCGCGAATTCCCCAGTAACTGCCACCGCCTCGTCCATCGAAGACCTCCCAAGCAAGGACATCAGTTGGTTCCATGAAAAGGTCTGGCGGCCTTATCCGTTCGTCTATCCGCGAGTGACCTTCGAGGAAATCGCGCTGGCGCCCCACGTATGGTATACCGGGGGCATTGAGAATTTCATCTCGACAATGGAGACGAGTGCGTTGATGGGGAAGAATGTGGCGGCTTTGATGGTGAAGGAGTGGGAGGAACAGAGGGAGAAGGCCGAGGCGGCGATGGGATCAATGGGATTCAGCCAATTTGAAGATGGGAAGGTTGAGCTGTGAGGTGTAGACATGACTTGAAGTATTGGTCAAAAGAAAGAGCACAGATTGGCGGATGGCATGAGAAGGACCCCCAAGGCACTAACTTATTGGAACTACGTATAAACGACCCGATAGAGCGCTACTGCCACTGCTACGACATGAAAACACATGTGTGAAGTCGAACTTCATGAATTATTAACTCTGAGTCATCTGATACTGATACTAAACTCAGTCAAGGCGGTTAAAGCCTTTGATTTCCAACCACGAACTTTTCCGGTCCTGTTGAAGAAAGTGTTGAAGAAAGCATCCTGGTGCTTATTTTTTTTTCTCTCAA